AGAAAATTTAAGCTCTATATTTTCCTATAAATTTTAATTGTTATCTTTTCCAAATGAGGAAATCTCAAACTCTATGTATTTTCATTCTTCAGCCTATTATAAAAGCATTTATTTTCAATAGAAAAGTGTGCATCCGAAAGATTTAAACAAAAAAAATTGCAGCTAGATTATGAAAAGAGTATCATTTCTGCCCTCCTCAAAGCTTCCGGTTTTTTAATTTACATACCAGTGAAACATTCAGTCTATGTATTCGATAGTGATTATAAAGCTCAATACCTCAAAAAACTGCATTTTCCTTTGAGAGACTTCTCAACTACAATGCAGAATGGTTTCTCAAAAAATACAAAAACACCACGTGTATCACTCAGCATACTTCTGCCCTGCATGCATACAATACTTGCAGCTTCATATTACAAAGGTAACTGAATAACCAGCGTGAAGCGTTCTAATGAAGATATACATATTCATTATTCTGCTAGTATTTTTTTAGACAGTATCCCAACACAATACTTAAATTGTTGTGAGAGTGTTGAACAAAAATCCTTCACCAAGTTGGAAGTTGCACAAGTAAATTTACTTTTGCAATTTTCGTATTTTATTACAACTTTACTCTTCTCAGCTTAAGATGGCTTTTCCCCTCAGTTGGTCTAATTCAACTAAATTAACTTTGGAGTCCTTATGAACGCAGCCACCTACTGAACAGTCACACACTAAAGATGCAGCTTTGAGTTCAATACTTCCATGCTGTTTAGCTGCTGTAAAATATACTAAGATTGGCATTTCAAAAGTGCAAATAACCAATCTCAAAATAGCTTAGATTATTCCAACGTGACTTGTAATTGCTTGGTGCAAGTGGTGTTTGCTTTCCTTTCTACATAATTATGCAAGCATGAGGAAGTCAATAACTGCCTCTGATCACTTGTCCAAACTGGAACATCAGGACAGAGTTTAAGAAAATCGTTTATCATGGTGCAGAAACAAATGACAGAGGAAAACCACCTCTTAAGACTTACCTGTTCTCCTAGCTCTAACGCAAAAACTACCCCAGCGGTAGTATTCCTCTACAAATCTCCATACTGCTGTAGTTCAAATAGTTAACCAGAAAGTGAAAGGTCACTACATTCCACGACTAGTTTCCGCCTGCATAAGAGCAAGAGGACTTTCAGCTGACTTGTGCTGGAAGTTGGAAACGAGCAACTGAAAAATTTACCAGACATTTCACTTTTGTCCTCCGAATACTGGCAGAGAACAAGAGCAGCAGACTGGACTGGCTTCAAGAGAAAGCAGTTCTAACATCAGTGATCTCTGTAGACAGCTAGGGAGGTCACTAGGAAAAGCTACTGAAAGCATCACGTAAATTTAGGATGAATTAAAAACAAAATCCCCACAAAGCGTACACATTACTTCCTTCATTTGTTTGTGTGGCAGTTTCATGTAAGGATTCAGCAACACCTAGGGCTACCAAATTCAAACACCCACAACATTAAATATTTCGTATTTTATGGACTAAAAATATGAACATGTAAAAAAGCATAAAAACATTTAAACAATCATCTCAAATCACTTAGAGCATTGCTCTAGCTTCTGGGACATTCACTATTCTTATCTTCATTTGGCAGCGAGTGAACTTTTAAACTACAGTGGCCATATTACCCTCATTCACATATTTAAATATCAAGCAAATACTGTGATAGAGGTTAAAAAAGGAGCATTTACAATGAGTTTACAGGGCAAATCATCAGTGAAACTAAGTTTGTGTTTGTTTATTTCCTTAAAAGCAGAAACTCTGCTCTTTCCAGAGCTTATTCACTGACTGGGAAAAAAACTGAAAACAAGCTGTAATAGTATTTTTGTGTGTGTGCGTACATATATATATGTGTGTGTGTGTATATATATATATATATACACACACACAAACTATTTAGACTCGTCTGATGGCACACAGTTACTTTCTAAATAATCAGATTATACAGGCTTCCAAAGCATACTTAATATGGAAAGACCTTATGCAGAAGGTGCTTAAGTTTATATATATATATAAAAAAATCCTAACTGCAACTTATGAAGTTCTCTGGCATAGACCACTATCAGAGGTAGTTCAACAGGGGAAAAAGCTTGATTTAGTGGAAGATTATAATAACAACCATAATTATTCCAAGACTTGCACACTTCTTATAAGACATATCTCCAGACTATAGTATTTGCAGTTCATGTGAGGAGCACTTAGTAAGCTAAAATCACTAGTTTACACAGGGGACTTTATTTACTTGGATTAAGTTGGGTTATGGTGGGCAGAACAACGATGCCACCAGCTTTGGAGGTGGTAAGCTGTTAGAAGACAGCATACTTCTGTGGTCTCAGAAGGTTCCAAAATGCAAATAAGAGTATGAGTGACTTTTAGCTGTCTATCAATAAAACTTGGCACTCTTCCTAAATATATCTGAGAGTGTTTTACAAAGGCTGATAAAATATTCCATACGTACTACATAGATGTGAAAAATGAGTGAGTAAAGCTACATGAGTTGTTCAAGTTCACTCAGAGAGACAAAGATGCAGACAAGGAATCCCGTTCTAATGCTGTGTGCACTGGAATGCACTACCTTCTGCACCTGAAAAAATGATCAAGGCAAAAATCGAGACAGAGGCCTCAATCCTACAATCAGCACCAAGTCAGCAGACTCAAAGTAAGACCAGGCCTTAAAGCATTCAGTTCTCTACATGCTGAAGTGTCCTTGAGCATACTCTTCCAATAACTTACACGATAAATGCACACAAAAATAGCTGTATTTAAACAGTATCTTGATGTGCTGTATTCAATGTTACTTTGCAGTGATATTAATTATCCTGAGCACTCTCCCTCATTCCTTCTGATTAGACTAATTTGTATCCTTGTGAGCTTAGAAAATAAACTACAAAACTTAAGCCGGGCAGAAAGACACAATGCACTGTATTACTCTTAAAATCATAAAAAAAAAAAAAAGATGAATTTTAGAAATTTCTGTTGAGCTACAATTCTGTTAAAAGTTTCATTGTAATAACTAAATAAAGTTTCAATGCAGTGACCCACAGATTAACCTCACATAACATTAGAAGGCAAAGCAAATAAACTACATGGAGCTACCTCAACCATATTCGAGTTTAACGCTCAACACAAACATATTGCAAAAATTACAGACTGGCAGAATTGCACTGGCAGAATTTATCCAGGTTTAAAAAAAAAAAATAAATCAATAAATAAAAACGCAATAGTATCACAAACCCATCAAAGAATAAATGCGCTGGGAGCTTTTGTTAAAGTCTGGCTGTGTTAACAGGCTGCTTTCTTTGTTACTTTAAATTTAAGCATTTGTTATACATTCAGTTCAGCCTGGAGAGGGGCTCTATCACCATTTCACAGAATACTTTGTATTCCCACTTGTGATCCGACCTTCTCATCCTCCCAACTGTCTATCTACATATTTATATGTCTCTATAATCAGAACCTAATCTCTATGGTAACCGTAGGATTTGTTTACATGGAAAAAGAATATTAGAAATGTACGTAAATTTAGCTGTCATTTAAATAAGTGGTTTTGCTTGTGGGGGAAAATAGCTCCATATACTGCCTCCTATTTCCTTTGCTTCCATCTCCTGCATCCCTGCTAGGCAATGGGCCACAGCTGAGAAGTATGAGCCGTATCATACTACATTGACAGTCCGTTGTTTGTTTTCCGTAATTCATAGTTTACTTCTAATGAGAAAGATGTGTGCAGCATTTTAGATCTTAACACTTACTAGAGAGAAAGCAGAGGAAGGGCACTTAAAGCAGGACTGTTTTTCCTAAGATATTGTCATTAAGTCACCAAAGTAAGCAAAACAGGCTGAACCTTTAACAGCTATACAAAGGCCCAGTTTGCTACTCTTAGTAATATCATATCAATCTAGAAATTAAAAAGTCTATATCATCTACCATTTCCAGCAGCGAATACAGTACAGGGTACATATTTTACATAATACACAAACTGATATGCAGTAGCACAACTCTGATAGTGCAAGATTCCACATACATACTGCTCTTTTTATTGATGAATACCAATGACCTGATGCATCATAGCTTCATAATCATCATTTTTGGTAAGGTTTATAATATTTTGAAACAAGATTTACTGCAGCCCAGCATAGCCAGGATCTGGATTACACAACCTGGGGGTCAGGGTAATATAAAAAGCAGCTCAAGCGAGAAATCAGCAGCAAAATGACAAAAGGACTAATAATCTCAGTTCTTAAAAACTACTTTTAGGTGCATGGTTCTTTGCCATACATAGAAGAAATCATTTTATGCCACTGATTTTTTTTTTCTATAAAACTTTGTCCAATGTATCAAAAAGCAATGGTCCAGAAAGGCCTAAGAGAAGAAAAGTGCACTCACTTTGTGACAATTTTGTATGTGACTAGTACACGGCACTGAGAAGAAAATTAAAACCTGTTTGAAAATCTTTTTGCACCTTACAGCAATCATTTCGCTGCAGAGAATCTCTTACATGCTCCCTTCCTGATCAGATCAGGATCACTCATTCAACAAAACTCCTCTTAATGAAGAGAAGGCAAGTAAATCTACCATTTACCCTCTATTCAGAGAAACACGGCTGTGTGGCCAGCATTTCCCCTGCAACATTACTTTCTCAAGCTGGGCGACTGTCCCCTGTTCCTCCATGAAGCAAGCTCAGCCCAGGCAGCCATGTCCTTATTCTCCTACAAACAATGTTTCTGAAGGAGAACAGCCCTCTCTCAGCGAACTTGCACTTTCCCCAGCAAAACGTGGTGGAGCAAAACCCGCCCCACGAGCAGCCAAGGAGCGGAGGCACTAACACAGCATTGGGGCGAAGCAGCCCGCAGTCTGGATCCGCACCAGCGCCGAGCCTCGCACCGGGGTCGGGACAGACGGACTGACAGCCAGGACGGCATTTCTTCACGTAACCTTGCCTCCCCTCCCCTCCCAGACATACAAGTGAGTGTTTTACCTTCATGATGAGCTCAGGCTGCGGTAAAAGCCTCGATCGGGGCTGAGCGGCCGAGGCTGGACCTGGAATTTAAAACAAAGCACTGAGGCACCGCACCAGC